AAAAAAAAAAAAAAAAAAAAAAAAAAAAAAAACAAACAAAAATCTTATTTGTTTACAAATTTCCTGTGTAATGACTTTCCACACTTTAAGAAAGAATACATAATTTTTAAAAAAGAATGTATTTTTTATTATTTTCCAATTTTTTTTTTTTATAGAGCATGTGCACTCACCACGGAGAGATAGGTAGTTTTTTTTTATAGAGCATGTGCACTCACCACAGGTAGAGAGAGAGAGAGAGAGAGAGAGAGAGGGAAAGTAAGAAAGCAAGCCACCAGGTTGGGGACTCAACCTGCTGTGAGCCATGTGAAAGTCCAGTGCCCCAACCACCATGCACTTAGTGACCCTGAAAGACTACATAATTAAGCTCAGCCATCACAGTTAACAGACTACTATACAAAGTAAACAAATTCGGACTGGCAGTAATAATTTAATCTTAGAAATTGATACAAAGGAATCAGTAAGGTGCTTGTCAAAGAGTGTTTAGAAAGTGAATTTTGTCTCTCTTTTTCATATGTTCTTACGTCATGATTTGTTTTCATGTCTTCTAGTACTTTGATCTACAAATTTGGAAGAACTGAAGAGCTATGGACCTGAGATTGCTTCTTAAATCACATTTTCCTTTTGTTACATTCTATTTGTAGATAAGTTTTTATCTCTCAATATAATTTACACATTGCCAAATGTAATAGATTGTACATTAAATGTTTTTTCTTTACATTTTTATGCTGAGTTTTGAAATAGTTTTATGAAATTTCTGTTCTTTTTTTCTCATTGAATAGACTGTTAATATGTATATAAGCCTCCATAGACTGGGTGATGAGTTACCAGTTTTTTATTTCTGAGACTTAAAGCTTGATCTGTTCCCTGAGCCAGGGTTGTATCATCATGTCATTGTAGGGGTAACTACTCTGTTTCAGTATCTCTCATTTCTGAAGATGTGCAAAAAATATAGCTCCATATATCTAGAATAAGCACTGAGCCATTAAAAAGGGTATTTCAAGTCAGGCCCAGTGGCACGTGCCTGTAACCTCAGTTGACTGGGAAGCTGAGGCAGGAGGATTGTGAGTTTAAGGCCAGCCTGGGCAATATCAGAAGACTCTTGTCTCTAAAGAAAAAAAAAGAAAAGGAAAAAAAAAAGTTATTTCAGCAAGTTGTAATTTATTTTGGCTTAAAATGAGATTTTTAAAAAGGAAATATGTTTGTTCTTATGTATTAAAGAAGTGAACTTTTATATGAAGTTTTTTTAAATGCCTGAAGGACTAGTTTGAAAGCCTCTTTTAAAAAGAATTCCTCTAAAATGTCTTTATTTGAGAAAGGGTAATACATGATCATATAAACTCAGTTTTTTATAGTTAGTGTAAAATGACTATAGGTTAGCGTGGCAACATGCTTCCCATGAAAGCAGCTTCAGTTACCTGCTGGGATTGTCCTGGGACAGACCACCACTGTCTGCCATCATGCTATTTAGTAGTGAGCAATTCTGAGGCAGCAGCAGTTAAAAAGCATGAGCCATATAACAGAATATGGAATAATTAGTTTAAAGATAAAGCACTTCTCTTCAAAGGGAATTATTATGACCTAATGAGACATTAGGAGTTTCACCCGCTTAGTTACCAATTGCAAGTTTCTTTTCACTCCAGCTCTGACGCTTTGGGTGAATGTTTCCTGCAAAGTGTATCTTGAACTTGAAAGTTCATACTCCAACCTAAAACTTGTTTTACTGAATTCAAAATATTGTATTTGCACTGTGTGTATTCCCATGGGCCTTTATTGCTGTTAGTGGTCCTTTGTTATATGAATTTTGCTTTGCACTTTTTTCCCAGAGGGGTTTTGTAGAACATTTTATTGTTAAGACAGAATAATTTCAGCGGTAGTTTATGCAGCCTCTAATGTAAGCCTTATTTGCGTATTAACTTATCCCCTCTCCGAGAGGGTTTGTGTGCACAGAGTATGAAGCAGTTGTGGAAAGCTGTGCCTTCGTCTGGAGCCCACCTTGTTTAATTCCTTTGTTTTTATTGTCCCTCCCCCCCAGATTGTTAGTAAGCTTTGTCTTGCCTCCAACAAATTGTAAGAATAAGATTAATTTACTTGTTTCTGCTCTCATAACATGTTGCAATAAATATTATTTCTCACATGTTCTAGTGTTATTAAGTTTGTTGGAAAAGATGAACCATGAACCATAAAAATTGATTTGCTGTTCAGTTTTCAGTTATTCAAGTAAATTTGATCAAAGAAACAGTCTTTTTTTTTTTTTTTTTAGTTTTTCTTATAGAGAGCATGTGCTCACCGGAGAGACAAGAAATTAAGAAAATCACCCCCTAGGAGGAATGGCCACACTGTAATTCCTTCTCTTTCACTCTGGTCTTGGGAATTTGGGCAAGGACACACAAATGCCCACCATGATTTTCAAGCCACCAGGTCTGTGAGCCATGAAATTGGCCATGTGGGGTCCAGTGCCTTAACCACCACCTGCTGGCCCAGCAGTTTATAGAATAAAGAGAATAATATTCAGATGAGGGGCATCATTAAAGAAGACTGAAATGATGGCTGCTTTTTTTCCTTGACTCTGCCATGGGTTTGCTTTCTTTTTTTTTTAGAGGGATATTTTTTGCTGTAGGGGACATGTGCTCGTCGGAGAGATAGAGAACGACAAAGAGACAGAAAGCAAGAATTCATCCCCCCTCCAAGGGGGGATGTCCATGTCACAATCCCTTCTCCATTCTCCTCTGGGAATTTTAGGCACACACACAAGCACTTGGCATGAGTTTCAAGCTGTTGGGTCCAGGACTCAAACTGCGGTCAGTGCCCCAACCACTCCTTTTTTTTCTTTTTCTTTTTTTTTAAAGAATTATTTATGTATTTTAATTTGTTATTATTATTTTTTAATTTGACCAGACAGAGACAGAGAGAGAGAGGGAAAGCAGCAAGAAAGCAAGCCGCCAGGTCCAGCACTCGAACTGCAGTCAGCCATGTGGGAATCCAGCATGGTTAACCACCATGCCATCTCCCAGCATCCCCACCCCCCAACCACTACTGATTTGCTTTTCAGTTGTGAACAAATCACTTAATTTCCTGTTTCCTATTTAAAAATAGAAAGGGCTGGGAACCAGCAGTTAGCATAATGGCTATGTCGCTGGACTCCCACGTAGTCGACCACGGTTCGCGTCCCGGACCCGGTGGCTTAAAACACGCCGTGCGCGTGTGTGTGGGTGCCCAAGATCCCGAGAGGAGAATGGAGGAGAAGGGATTTCGGCATGACCATCCCCCCTGGGGGGGGGTGATTTCTCACTTTCTGTCTCTGTCTCTCTCTGTCTGTCTGGTGAGCGCACACGCCCTATAGCGAAAACCTCTCCAAAAAAAAAAAAGGATAGGAAGGGCTGTCCCTTTAGCACAGCAGTTAGGCACTGTGCAAAGGAAGGTGGGTCCTACCTGGCTGACTAGGGTTTGAATTCTGGCCCTATTGACTTAAAACACATGTCAGTTGTTCACGTACATGCCCAGGATCCTGACGGGATGCACGATTGGAGGAGAAAGGATTACATTGTGACCAGGTGCTGAGGGAGGTGTGCATGCGTATTATGTTTTGTGTGTGCACGTGTGCCCTCTGGCACAGAGTGGGAGAGAGGATATTAGTATCTACTCTAACAGATATTTTGAACTAGAAAAGGTAGAATACTTGTCTTTAAAAATACATGTGTGGTGGGACCAGCAGTTAGCGTAATGGCTATGTCACTGGACTCCCACGTAGTTGACTACGGTTCGAGTCCTGGACCCCGTGGCTTAAGCTCATGCTGGGCGTGTATGCATGTGTGCCTAAGTTCCTGAGAAGAGAAGGGAGAAGAAGGGATTGCAGTGTGGCCATCCCCCCTGGGGGGTGATTTCTCGCTTTCTGTCTCTCTGTCTCTGTCTGTCTGGCGAACACACGCGCCCTATAGCAAAAACCTCTCCAAAAAAAATAAAGAAAAAGAAAAAAAATATACTATGTGTGGGCTGGGGCCGGCAGGTGGTGTGGTGGTTAAGGCGCTGGACTTCCACATGGCTGACTGTGGTTTGAGTCCCGGACCTAGAGGCTTGCTTTCTCATTTTCCCTCTCTCTCTCTGTCTCTCTGTCTCTCACTCTGTCTGTCTCTGGTCAAATAAGTAAATAAATAAATAGTAAAAAAAACAAGTGTGGGGCCAGCAGGTGGCAGAAGGGTTTAGGCACAGGACTCACATATGGCTGATAACAAGTTGAGTCCTGGGCTTGATGCTTGCTTTCTTTTCCTCTCTCTCTGTCTTTGTCTCTCTTGTGAGACCATGTACACTATAGCAAATTTAAAAAATAATAAATAATTATTAAAAAACAAAGGCATGTGATTCCCTTAAAGAAGGTCTCACTGTAACTCAGCCTCAGTACTTGAATTTGCGTCTTTAGTGTGTGGACCAGTATAACCAGAACATTCTGTTTTCTTACTGTATGTCTGAGACCCTGTCGTATTCCTTACATTGTTGCCACTGATGAAAAACATGGAGGCTTGCCTTTTCCATTGTGTAATTTTTTCCTCCATACACAGTACAGTGACATGCATCAAGATAATGAAATCGGAAGACTGAAAGATAGATGATCTCAAACCATGTAACTTGTCCCCTTGAGCAAGAACCTCAACGTGGATGCTTCGACTTAGATGCAGTGAACTCATGTTCTCTACATTTTCCCTGATGGAAGGGTTTTCAGTCATAGTGCCACTTCAGAAATACTTGTTTTCATTGCTTCCTTTTAGATTTATTTCCTGTCAAACAATCTCTGCCAATCTTAAGAGTTCATCCCAATTCTCCTGTATATTCTCTGTCATCACACTCGTGAGTCTATTTAGTTTGTGGGGCTGACTGTGTGCCTATAGGTTAAGGGAGCTGGATCCTACATAGCTGACTGGTTTGAATCCTGGCCCTGGTGACTTGAAAAGCTCTCCAGGTTTGTGTGTGTGCCCTAATCCCAGCGGGGTGGAGGAATGGAGGAGAAGGGATTGCAGCGGGACCACACTGCATCCAAATGCTTCCTCCCTCCCTCTCTTTCTCTCTGTAGCAACCACAGGAACCCTGTGGCAATTTAAAAAGAAAAGTTTGTGAAGGTTTGTGGTTACTTTTAGACATGTTCATCTCAACTAACAACCTGTTAAGCCCTGGAGGAGACGCATTTGACGCCAATTTTACTGTATGTCCTCTGAATAGGTAATCACATTTTGTTCAGTGTGTTCAAGCTAGGCCTGTGCTTAACTTATTTCAGTGGACTCTCTGTACTGTGTCATGTATTTTTTTTTTTTTTGAGAGGTTTTTGCTATAGGGCACGTGCGCTCGCCAGACAGACAGAGAGAGACAGACAGAAAGCAGGAAATCACCCCCCGGGGGGGGGATGGCCACGCCGCAATCCCTTCTCCTCCATTCTCCTCTCGGGATCTTGGGCACGCACGCACATGCGCCCGGCGTGAGTTTAAGCCACCGGGTTCGGGACTCGAACCACGGTCGACTACGTGGGAGTCCAGCGACATAGCCATTACACTAACTGCTGGTCCCATACTGTGTCGTGTATTCAGGAAAGATTAGAGACTTAGAAACTATTGAAGTAGAAATGGAGTCACTTTGTTGATTGATTTTCCTTATTTATTTATCTGACTGAGAAAATGTAATAGTCTTCATTTGACTGCCAGACTCCCAAAGAATTGCTGAAGAAAATCAGGATGTGATTATCCAATCCTAGAGTCATTTTTTTACCCTGAGGGAATTGTGACATAATTTTTGTTTTCACAGCCCATTCTTATTTTCCTAGAAAGTATTTACTAATTTCCATTTTATTAAAAATGAACTAATCTATTTTTAAAAAGTTTTTATTTGTTGTTATTTATTATTATTATTATTATTATT